CCAGCAAACTCTGTGTTCTTACTCCGTGCCAAGATCTCATGGCATATGCATTTCTCTGCCATGGTTGTCTTTCTCACCTGTCATTCAGATGTGCTTTTATGAGACATGGATACAAGCCAGAGTCAATCCTGGAAGAGCCTTTCCAAAGTCAAATCTCTTGGTCAGCTTTTTAGATAACTTTAACCCAGATTTATTTATCTAAAGAGGGATCTGTCCCCTCACACACACGTACGCAAACAGAAAACTGTCGGTATGGGCTTTCAAACTTATTTGGCCCAAGTGCACTACCCACATTGATTAAAAATGACTTGATTTGGTTTTGCTAACTTTGTTCGTTAATTCAAATTAGTATGTACTGCAGGTAGTGCTTGGTTATAGCTTATTTAGTGTTTTAAAGGGTTTGTAAACCACATAGTCTACTGTCAAGCAAATAAAAAGCGAAAAAAAGTCTGCTTAAGGAAAATAGTACTGTCCGTAACAATGGGAGACCCAAATTCTCGCCGGAATCAAACAAGAAACCGACTCCGTGCCCAGCTACGGAAGAAACGAGAATCTTTGGCCGATCAGTTCGACTTCAAGATCTACATTGCCTTTGTATTTAAGGAAAAGGTATGTTGAATGATTCTGTATGAAGCTGAGAAATTGACTGTCTATGATTGTTCTCATATGCCTTTTCCCACTTTTACAGAAAAAGAAGTCTGCACTCTTCGAAGTAGCTGAGGTGGTACCTGTGATGACCAACAACTATGAGGAAAATATCCTTAAAGGCGTGAAGGATTCGAGCTACTCCTTAGAGAGTTCTTTAGAGCTTCTCCAGAAAGATGTGGTGCAGTTACACGCACCTCGTTACCAGTCAATGCGTAGAGTAAGTGTTGGCACACAGCATGGTTGACTTTCGACATTGTCAGTTGAAGATTAAGCTGCTGTCAGCTGTGTTGCAACCATAATGGTCTGTCTTGTCTAAAAACCCATGTGTCATCATGTTGTTCGAGGTCATTGCTTTTTT